CAACAAACCCCCAAAACCAAAGATTCCAACAGTAAAACCCTACAAACGAAAATGAAGAGATAAAAGGGAAAGACTGCCCCAAACGAAAAAAAACCCCCGCTGCCAGCCGAACAACGAAACCCCAAAACTTTGTATAACTACAACTTCTTCTTAACTACAAAAATTCCTGAGTATTAAAGACGCAATCTAAAAAAAACAGCACCAAGGCCGCAAGAAAACACCGAAAAATAATATTCAATAAGTGTAGCCAGAGGACCCCGGGCCCACCCCCCCCCCCCCCTCACCACCGCTCAAGGCGACACCACAACAATAACACAAAATGGCGCCACCACCCCATCCCCCTCTTTTCCCCCGGGTTTCAACCTACCAAGTAGTTCCAGGTATGACCAACGATCCGTACCCTAAAAACAGCATCTCCAACTTGTTATTAAAATATAAATCTTCGAGAGACCTACAAAACAAACACCGGTGACACAACTCGAGAACAAAATCCTCATCTTGAACAAAATTATCAACCCCGGGAATGACTAACTGTGACAAACATCCAAAAGTCAAGATAGCCATCCCCAAAAAATAATATCTCTTAAACAAAGTTGAAGAAGCAGTAAAAGAATGGAAGAACAACTTAGAAAACCATTCAGTGAGACTTTGCCTCCAAGAAATAAAACTGAGCAAGTAAACTATCGGACGCAGTAATAGTTAACACCACTTTTTTCCCAGTGATATAACAAAACGAACAGTAAAGAAATTACTCTGCGATCAAAAGGGACCAAAAAAGGGTTTTATTGTACCAAGTCAGAAAAAAAAAAACCCGGGTAACTAGGATCCCAGGGTAGAAAAAGTTTTATCTAGATTCCACTCCATGACAGGAAAAAAGACTTAATTATTGCATCTATTAAAGTAAAAAAAAGGGGGTATACAAAAACGGTGTCTTCCCAAAAAAACTCCAAAACCCCTCCTTTATAAGTAAAAAAACTTAAGCGGGAGAAAAATGACACAATACACCAATGCTTCACACAGGGGGAAAAATTTCTGTTTGGGAAAACAAATTGGGTCAACGTAACAATAACGAACGAGAATGATCTATCACGATTTCTCGGGGATTCAATCTTACAGAAATAACAAAACAATGTCCAACCTAAAGCCTACGTAGTTAGGAATGTTTTGCTCCATTTTGAAAAAATTTTTCATAGTACAATCTTTTAGAATTTAAAAATAATCAACACCTCTTTTTGTGTTTTTAACTGTAAGCTAAGCCCCTTATGTAATTTTTTTTTTACTATTGTTTGCTTAAACATTAGCAATTATACTTTCTCATGTTTTTTTAAATAATCAATTGTATTACACTAAAATTAATAATTATCATTTTTACATAATTTAAATTTTACTCTTAACATTTTTAAATTTAATAACCATTACTTTCTAATTCCCTAACCTTTTTTAATACCACATTTACTATCTTGAGTACTTTTAAATTCCCTTGTGCTCCCATATACCTCTGTATAACTCCAGTGAAAATTAATGAAATAACTTTTTTTTTTCATTTTTTTTGAAATCATTATTATTTTACTAAATTTTTATTAAACACATATTTACTCCCAGTCAATTTTACTTTTGTACATTAAACATTTTTTTATATTCCCATAAATTTTGTTCCCAAAATTTTAAAGTTGTAATTCAACCCCAAACCTTATATTATCCTTTGTACCTTTTAAACCTGTGTACGTCTACCTTTCCAAAATCTTATATCATTTTATAACCAAACATTACCCTTGTTATTTTTTACTATTATTCTTTGGTTTTTAATTGTGTTTATATTTTGTCAATTTAAATCTAGTTATATCCTTTCTTTCAAAAAACCTATACCAGACCCTAGTGCAATTTCAATCCATTTAAATTTGTTTTTTTAAAATTTTAAAGTTTAGTTAAATTCCTACTCTAAAATTTTTTTCAATCTTAGTGACAAAATTTGTGTGTGCAATTAGTGTATATTCAATTATTTTATTGTTCAAGGCCCTTAACTTTTTTTTTGCTAAATAGTACCAATTATTTTTTTTTTTTTTTCTACTTTTTTTATTCTTTTCTACCTTAATTTGTATTTTTATCTTGTAAATTTTTAAATCTGTTATACTCAAATTTCTTGTAAATAACTTAATAACCCTTTAGTGCAATTACAATTAGAGTCTTGTGCCTTTTTATATTATTAGTTTAAAACCAGTTGTACTAAGTCAATCCCAAAAATTTTGACCATATTGCAATTATAGTAGAGACTGGTGCTTTTTTAATTTTGTTGTTTATTTATTAATTAAATCTATTGTACAAGCTCATTCAGTCAAAACATAACTCCACAAAAGTCATTATGTTAACCTTAGTGCAATTTTTGATTTCCACTTTTTTGTTCCCACAACTTATATTAGTCCCTTTTTTTATTTTAATTTTTATTAAATTTAACTTTAAAAATTACTTTAAAATACTACCTACTAAAATCCCAAGTTTTTTT